CATACTACACTTGCTTTATCACACCGACCTAGTGTTTCCTATGACCCACAGACCAAATAGGGGCTCATGAACGGGTCACCAAAGTCCGTTTCAATGAGCCAAGGGATCGCAATCCCAGTTTGTGGATTTCAAGTCCTCCCCTAGAGACAAGTCAAGATCACCAATACATTATGCGACCACAGTTCTATGCGCATAGGGGTATCTCTCGCACATGCATACGCTTCACCCTAAAAGGTGGATTTCTGGCTTTCCCGAATGATCTATCGATATGCATGACGTGTGATGGTACATGAATGAGGTTTTGGCCCCTGTCTCTATAGAATATCATCACACACAAGGGTCACACAGTCGCTCGGCTCACTCATCCGGGTATATTCTCCGACCTCATAAAGGGCTAACCCATTAGAATTCTTATCGGTTTGTTCTTTATGTCCAAGTAACATGGGTTTTTCTAGCACAGTCCCATATTTGCAAACGTCATTTGCTTAGTATGGCTCACGAGGGACCACATTCCTACTGAGTTCATGTTCCACTTTATCATTTCATTTTACAAGCACTCATGAGGCCTTTAAAGGCCACATGAACCCAACATTAGTTATACAGATAAGGTTGACATTGTTGTTCAGTCATTAGCATTGGCAACGCTCTCTCTCTCTCTCTCTCTAGCCATCCACTCTTGCCTCAATGGCAGTCTTAGACCCATGATGTTTATCATGGTTAACCCACATGTGTGATGGCCATAGAGGGTCTTGGTGTTGGGTTTTAGTCATCACGGTTCTACAAGAACAATGATGCTAGGTTACCATCATAGTTCTGTCTCGTGATGGCTTTGCTAGTATTTAATTCCACCAACCATCATGATACTATTACAGCTATGGTGTACTATTTCATAATTGAGATTATAAAAAGGCCATGATAGTTTAAGCATCATGGTTCTGAACCGTGATGATTTCTAAACCATACAATCCCTCCCCGCCCCTTTCCTCCTTCCTGCCCTTTTCTCCTTCCCAAACCTTCCCATCCTTCACTCTATCTCTACCTTCCCATCCCATCCCTCACTCTATCTCTCTCTCCAACAGCAGTAACCCCACCTCTCTCTACCGTAGCCTTTTTTTTCTCTCTCTAATCTATCATCTATTGCTATCATCTCCTTTCATCTCTTAATCTCTTTACAGGTTTTCTGAGATTTATTTTCCAACTCCTAATTGTGAAATATACACACCAACACTATTTTACAGGTATGTTCTCAAAACTTGAAGCTCTTATATATATTCCTATTCATGTACAATGACAACATTTTGCAAGAAATATTGTGTATTTCTTTTAATAGTAGTTGATGGGGCAATTGGATTGTTTTGGTATAAAATATTGCACAAATAAGTGTTAGCTCTGTATTAGTATTATGGTATCTGTATTGGAATTTTAATGTCCCTCATAATGCTTCCTCATTATAATGTATAGATTTCCACAAACATTTATACCTGCATTGTTATCAACTAATAAGTTATTGATCTCAAATATTTTCATTTCACATATGCTTCCATTGGGGAAATTGGATATCTCAAAATCGATTGGGTTTGTACACACCAATAATGGTCGATGACAAAGTGAAAATCAATTTATACTTCGATAGTTCTGTCAAGAGAAGTTTTAATCATGGACGGGGTGTTTTTATGATGGTGGGTACCTAAAGGTTACATTTGTAAAAGTGGATATTTTAACATTAAGTATTCACCAATTTTTTTCCATGAGAGCATAAAGCAGAGTAAATACAAACAAGAAAAATTTATCAGCAAAACAAAGAGGGTAGTGCTTGTGCTCTCAATTCTGAACTTTGACTTAGGGCAGTCTATATACTAGCGTAATTTTTTGGCTAGAGTTTATATGCAAGCATGCATATAAACTCCTTTCAAAATAAGGACACAATTTCTATGCGGCTAGCCCGCATATTATAAAAATACAGGCTTGACAATAAATAAATTTTTTAGATATAATTTGAGCCAAATTTTTAGAGAATATATAATATTTAACATGGAGATCATGAATATGGAATTTATTTTTTAAAAAAACTAAAAAATAATATATTAAAAAAATATTTAAACCGTTTGTTACACTTATTTTTAAATATATCACCTATTTCCATCCATCTTTAAAATAGATGCTTTAACTTCTGGACACCATATTGGGATTATATGCCGTGGGATCAATGTCTTTTGCACAAGAAGTGCACAAACACTTTGTTCCATTCGATTCAAAATCGAATGGCTGAGTATTACATTATGGACAAACAGTGCGAGGAAACTTTTGTTGGGATGCACGGATCGTTCCCGCGCATCTGTCTTCCGGCTCATCTCCCTCTCAATCTTTCTCTCTCTCTGTCTTCCCTCTCATCTCTCTCTCAATCTTTCTCTCTCTTCCCCGTATCTCTCTCTCTCTGTCTTCCCGCTCATCTCACTCTCTCAATCTTTCTCTCTCTTCCCGCGCATCTCTCTCTCTAAAAAATTTCGCACTCGTCTTTACTTTTGCAAATATCTCATCACTATGCATTTTCGAGTTTGAGCTTCGCTCTCTGTACCTCTGAAAACAACCGAGCGTCCAAGTGTTGTCTCTCTCTCTCGAACAATGGAAATGGAAGCCGGAGAAACCCTAACAATGGGAATGGAAGCGGAGGACCTTTCTCTCTCATCAGAGAAGCCCCCTGCAATGGCAATGGAACCCCCAAAAATCCATCGCCTCGAGCCCTCTGTTGTGAATAGAATAGCGGCCGGTGAAGTAATCCAGAGGCCTACTTCTTCTGTAAAAGAGCTTGTGGAGAATAGTCTCGATGCTGGTTCCACTTCGATCAGTGTCGTAGTAAAGGATGGAGGCCTCAAGCTTATCCAGGTCTCCGATAACGGCCATGGAATTAGAGTAAGCCCTAAATACCTGAAACTGTGCTGAGATTTTCGAGTCTTGTGGTTTAAATATCACGGAGAATTGGATATATTAGTGGAAAACTGTGTGATTCTGCATGGAATTAGAGTAAACCCTAAATCACTGAAACCGTGCTGAGATTTTTGTGTGTGGTTTAAATATAACGGAGAAATGGATATCTTACCGGAAAACTGTGGGATTCTGTTGTGATTCTATTGATAATGTGTAGAAAATAACAAAAATGCAATTGAATGGCAAGTATTTTGTAAATTTGGCATTGGTCGTTGTCTTCTTCTTTTAACTTTTACCATGCAAATACAAATACTGCTGAAAATGTAACCTTGTAGTGTCCGTGTTTGTGGAGTCTTACAGGCAAATTGAGAAAATTGCCATGGCTTTGTTGATAAAACGAGGAAACTTATAATAACTGATCGAAATTGTAAATGCTTGATAATTTTGGTCAGGAGGTATTTGGCTTGTAAGTTTTGACATTTATTATGCACTGTAAAGATTGCTGACAATTAACGAAACAGTGTTGCTATTTGGGAAGCTTGCTTGGAACTGCAAGAATCTGTTTTGTTTCTCATGATACTCTACCGTTAAGTTTATTGAAATTTAGCAAAACATGTAAATGTTGTTGTAAAGTGGCATCTGGTTTTAGTGATTTACTATTAATCTGAAAATTTAACTAAGAAGGTTACTTTTTGTGATTTTGCTGGAAAACTGTGAGATTTGATATGGTTCTGATCATAATTGTCAGAAGCTCAGCCTCAGAGAAACTGTAAATATTTGTGAAATCTTGCAATGTAGTATTTCAACACTTAATCGTTCTTTAATACAGGCTAAAAATATAGGCTTTGCTGAATTATAACTGTAGGCAATAAGATTTGTGGAGTTCTTGGGAAGACATGTGAAATTTGGTGGTTTTGATGGTTAAAGTTGAGGTTTCTGCAGCAAGAAAATACTTTAAATATTTGTGAATAGGAAATTATCAAAAATATACTTTTTAGGTTATTGGAAAAAAACCCAAATTTTTTGTAAAACCTCATTCATACTCATTTTCATTACTGTTTGCAATTTTGTGACAAAAATACCATTCATGGCAATATTAGGTCTATGATGTACCAAATGAACTGAAACCATCACGGTAGTGCTTGGGCCGTGCTAGATTATCACGGTTGTGCCAGTACCATGATGCTTGCACTTAAGAATCGCGGTTGAGTTAGAACCGTGAAGCATGACAAGCATCATGGTTGTGCTAGTACCGTTGTGCTCTCTATGTGAACCACGGTTCTCTTAGAACTGTTAAGATCTTGATGATATGAAAATGCCCCCACATAAGAGGCATCACAGTTGAGCTAGAACTGTGGTGCCTTAAATGGTTCACTTAGAACCATGAAGATCCCCTAAGAGGAATCACAGTTATTGTTAGTATCGTGATGCTTTCTAAGTTGTCCATCTTCACTTAAGAATCATGGTTCACTCAGAACCATGAAGGGTATTTTAGTCACAAAATCCCAAACATTGAAGAAAAGGGGTATGAGTGAGGTTTTGAAAGATCAGGGTTTTTTTTTTCTAAAAACCCAAGAAAAAGGGATATGTTGGATGATTTCCCTTGTGAATAAAGCAATTACTTTTTCTAATGATTACCATAAAGAAGAAATAGCAATTGGGTTTTTGTATGGTATCCTTGGGGATTAGGTTTAGAATAGACCTAAAAAATTCTTAATCACTCATTATTTGCTGGAAATTTGAATAAATTTTGGAAGGATTGTCCCAAGAGCATTAACTTTTGCACGATTTCCTGGAAAACATTGTGAATTTATCATGAAATTCTTTGATAATTTCCCTTGTGAATAAAGCAATTACTTTTTCTAATGATTTCCATAAAGGAGAAATAGCAATTGGGTTTTTGTATGGTATCCTTGGGGCTTGGGCTTAGAATAGACCTAAAAAATTCTTAATCATCTCATTATTTGCTGAAAATTCGAATAAATTTTGGAAGGATTGTCCCAAGTGCATTAACTTTTACCCGATTTCCTGGAAAACATTGTGAATTTATCCTGAAATTGTTCAATCTCATTGAGAAAAATTATGAGGATTGGGGAAATTGAGCTTTCTCATAATTGGCTCAGCGTTTGAATAAAAATCTTCATTCATGCTTGGTTCACCCTCCTCCTATTTAATTTGAAAAAAGGATTTATATTTTTTTGGAATATTTCCACAAAAGGATTTATCTATGTGGAATTTTCTGGGATAGTATATGTCAGTGTTTTAAAAAGCGCTAGGCGGCACCCATGCGGCCATGGGGGTCCAGGCTGCCTAGCGCCTAGGCGGCCGCCTAGGCGAGCTCCCAGAACCTGGGCGGCTTAGTTGAAAAAAAAATAAAATTGATGACTGATAATGATTAATTCATAAGAATTTTGATAATCCATAAGATCATAATCCATAAGAATTTTGATAATTCATAAGACCATAATCCTAGTTAAAAAAAGAAAAAAGTCGAGAAGAGAATTTTGATAATCCATAAGACCATAATCCATATTTTCATACAATGCTAAAACAGTAAAACCATACAAGCATACACAGATAGTTTGATACACTGTAGACTGTGCACACAAAAATTAGACAGTAGAGTTAGAAACTAGAGACTGGAAAGTAGAAACAAAAAATAAGCAAAAACAATATACAGAAATTCAGAAAATATACAGTCTAGGATACAATTGTCAACATTCAACACAACAGTCAACAGTCAACACCAAGAGTCTTCAGTCATTATCATGAGAAGGAATAGGGTAGGCCCATCATATGTATCAGATTCGAGGCCATCATCATCAGAGTCATCTCTCTCTTCAATATAACGTTTGTCCTCCTTTGTTTTTTTCTGAATCTGCCTCTCCCTCCTCTTCTTCTACCTCCATCTTGCTAGTATGTGCAGATGAGGCCCTAGGAGTCTTGGCCGCTCTACACTTTTCTATCATTTTGTGCTTCTCTAAACTCAAATATTGTATAATTTCCTCTCTGGTAGTCTCAGAAACATTTTTGCACTGGGCAACATCCCCCTTAATACTGATAAGGTGTTTTTTAAGCCGGTAAATGCTCCCATTAGTATCTTTTCCACAATAATTACATTTAATATGATTTTTGTCATTCGGATTCGGGTTATAACCATACTTCCAACCCGGATCACCACTTATAGAAGAACCTGAAAAAGATATTTCCATAGAATAAGGCTCATTTTCATCATTTTCTGGTTCTTTTAAATTCAGAAGTTGTCTAATCTCATCCCGAATAACTTCAGGAACCTTTTTACACGAAGCAACATTTCCTTTAATACCAGCAAGGCGTTTCTTGAATCAATAAATACCCCCATTGGTATCTTTTTCACCAAAATTACACCTTATATAATTTTTATCGTTTGGTTTTGTGTTATAACCCTACTTCCAACCCGGATCACTTATTTTAGAAGTAGTAGAAATAGATCTATTCAAATGACAAGGATTTTGTTCTTGTTTTTGTTTTACAGAACTCATATATTGCTTAATCTACTCTTTGATAGCTTCAGGAACATTTTTACTAGGGGCAACATCCCTCTTAATACCGGCAAAATGTTTTTTAAACTGGTTTATGCCTCCTTTTGTATCTTTTTCACTTTTTTCATTTGGATTCGGGTTATATCCATATTTTCAACACGGATCTCCACTTCGACTAGATCCTGAAGAGGACATTTAAAAAAAAAACACAAAATCTAAAAAATAAAGTTTTACACTTACTTTGATTGGTCAAACTTTCTGGTATTCAAATAATAAAAAAAACCCTCTAATAGGATTATAAAACTCCAAAACTAATTCAAATCTACCTGGGTGGTACTTGGATCCGTTTTCCATAACTTTGAGAAACACTTCGATTCAATGAAAGTCACAAAATTTAGATTTCTTGAGGTTTATTTTTCTCTAAAATGGGTTATTGTGGGTTTAGGTTTCAAATGAACCTAAAACCCATCCTTAAAACCCTTTTATGTTTAAAAAAAATCAATACAACGACAAAAAAAAAATTTCCGCCCCTAGGTGGCTGTCCAAGGACTGCCGTCCAGTTTGGCCGTCTAGTCCTTCTGAACCGCCTAGGCCTGGGCGATGTGCCTAGGCCTTCTGGACCGCCTAGGCCTGGGCGATGTGCCTAGGCCTTCTGGACCGCCTAGGCGTTGGGCGGTTCACTTTTTTGAACAATGGTATATGTGCGATTCTGATGAGATATGGACCCAAAGGCTATGAAGATTGAAACAATTTTGTGTCGCTCGCAGGCTTGCAAGCTTCCTAATGATGAACTGTAGCACTAAAGATATTCCTGAAAAGTCATTCTGAAGGAATAATGATTTGCAAAAGTTTCTGGAAAATAGTGGGATAGCAAAATCTCTTGATTATAATGGAGTTTATGAGTAAATATAAGGAATTTGTGCATGACTTGTTCCAAATGACCATTTTTGTGCTGCAATTTCACTTCAACCAGATTTTGAAAGACCCCTTTGTGCTGGAAATGCGCTCTAACATGCCAGAAATTGCTGAAACTATTCCATTATTTTTTGCATTTTTGGTTTTCCTTGAAGCATCATTATCATCATCATCCCAACTATTTGGGGTCGGCTACATGAATCTTGTTCCTCCATTTTGCTATATCAAGGGTCATGTCTTTAGTAAGACCATAAGTCACCATATCTCTTCTCACTACTTCCATCTTTTTCTCTTTTAGAGTCTTCGACTCTAAACCAATTCGCCTGTTATAACCGGTGTTGTATTAGGTCTACGCTCCATATGACCAGCCCACCTAAGTCTACGTTTCTTTATCTTATTGCCTATTGGAGCCACCTCTAAGTTCCTTTGTATGTATTCATTTTGAATCCTACCTTTCTGTTCTTTCCTTGAAGTATAAGTTTGTAAAATATTAGAAACCAAGTTCGCCAGTTCTTTAGTGGTGAGGAACATATAAAAGTAGGAGGTCTCCATAGAGTTTGCTAGAAGTAGGCAGGTACACTTTTCTATAATTACCTTGAAACATGGCAAAGAAGATATATCTTTTTAGGGATCTAAAGGATCACAATTCACTGGTTATGATGCTGAGGATTACATCCAGTTACTGGATCCCTTTCTAACCAAAGGTTTGGGATCTTTAGGAGGCGGTGTCATTGTAGTTTTTGTGTGACATCTTTATTTTTGAGTGCCCCTTCCAGTTATTCACTTTTTTAGTTTTCAGGAAGCTTTGTTACCACCCATAATGATTAAAAAGTTGATATGTCTGCTCACTGTTTCCCTTACTTGGTTGGTGTTGTGTTTTTTCATTTATATGATTTTCGTTTTCCCTTTTTCAAGGTACATGTGTCTTGTAATTTAACCTTTTAATTATTATGTTTATCTTTCTTTCCTTGATATAACTTCCTCTAAACATCATAATTGTAACTTTTGTAACTCTCACCAAACGGCAATGAAATTTGGCTTTTCTTATATACTCTATGTTACTATTACAGTTTGAAGATCTGCCAATACTTTGTGAACGGCATACCACATCAAAACTATCGGCTTATGAAGATCTCCAAAGTATAAAATCTATGGGTTTCAGAGGAGAGGCATTGGCCAGCATGACCTTTGTTGGCCATGTTACTGTAACCACAATTACTGAAGGCCAGATGCATGGGTACAGGTGCAATTTCTTTCTTTCATGAATATGTGTCTGTTGGTTAGATGATAGTGTTTGTGATCCTCGTTGGGATTGATATTTTCTTAATTCGTCTTTTATTCAGGGTATCATATCGAGATGGAGTGATGGAACATGAACCTCGGCCATGTGCAGCAGTGAAAGGAACACAGATAATGGTAGTGATGAATTCCACTATGTTTTTGGATAGTCTTTTACGATACACATGAATTTTGTTTCTACTGCTCTGCCTCGTACCAGTAAATATTTCTTATATTCAATCCATTTGTGGCCCTTCCACTGTATTTCTTGGATGGTGTTTACATGGACTGTATCTTTTTTCTTTCATTCCAATGCAGCTCACAATTTTCTCATTTCCAGGTTGAAAACTTATTCTATAATATGACTGCTCGAAGGAAAACTCTGCAGAGTTCTAATGATGATTATACAAAGATAGTAGATTTGATTAGTCGTTTTGCAATTCATAATGTGGATGTGAGCTTCTCTTGCAGAAAGGTTGGCCTCAATCACTGATGCTACAGTTATATCTTGTTTTAGGATTTTGTATTTCCCATTAGTCAAAAAATAAGCATGAATGACTCTCAGTTCTTGTAATTGAGACAGCATGGTATGAACAGAGCAGATGTTCATACTTCAGGCTCATGTTCAAGGCTAGATGCCATCAGATCAGTCTATGGACTTGCAGTTGCTCGTGATCTAATGGAAATCACTGCTTCTGATGATGATCCTTCTAGGTCTATATTTAATATGAATGGCTTTATCTCCAATGCCAACTACATTGCAAAGAAGACAACCATGGTTCTATACATAAATGGTATGTTGTGTCTTGATAGTCTTGCTATTATTGTTAACACGAAAGGTCATTATCTTTTGCTTTCGTCATTTTTTTGTGCTAGGGAAAGTAAACCATAATGGACTACGACATACAGTAATCCAAAGGGAGTGCACTATCCATTACTGATGGCGGACAAGGAGTATGAATTGTATTGGGGTCCACTACGACATTCACCCTTGTGCATTTAATCTCCACCATTTGTCATCTAGAATGTTGGTGGATGACCCTATGGAGTACCATCAACATGGTGTGCTAGCCCTTTGTGTTATGGTCAATATGGGTTGCAGAATGGAATTAATTAAGCTTTGTTGTGAATCGTAATGCCAATACATGATATAATTTCTACTGTCCCAACTTTAGTAGTCTTGTATTTGATTAAGCTAAAATATTATGAGCTCTAGTGGCAGCATATTGTTAACTGTTCATTCACTCCTCCAGTGAAAACCCTATGTAGGAGTATTGTGAGACCCCAAACTTTAGGGATGTTATATAAGTAAAAAAGAAAATTTGCAAGCACTCCATGTGTGCTTGGAAAAACACACGTCCTATGATTAAATAGAGAACATCCAATATTGAACAGTCAAATCTAAGCATTTAGGAACTAAAAACTCCCCTTTTTTAATACTCATTGAGTGATTCTATGGTGGATATCAATATTTTAGATAAAAAAGCGTAGGACTTTTGCCCGAGGGAGTAAGTGCGTGGTGTGCTCCCATGGAGGTACACTCTTGCTGGAGTACACTATATGTACTCTTTAACTAATATGAATATAATAGTGTTGATTGGATTTAACCTCCTGAAGTTTGATTTGTTTGCATTTATTCTAGTTTTTATTTTCAAGCATTATCCTTTTTATTCTACATGAGAACCTGGATCTGTATTGATGTAATTTCATGTCATTTTTAGCTATGCTCTCATTTAATGGGCTTAATTAACTCAGGATTGATAATGTATGGACCAATGATGCTAAATGGTTACAAATTTGTCTTGTTCATTGCATACTTGGGACACATCTTGGTTGAATGCATGACATTGTCTTCATCTCTTGATGATGCTATCTCCTTCTATTCATAACATATACTCCACCCTAATCTGGTGCTGTTATAGAGAGAATACGCCAAAGTGGTCTTCTCTTCATGGACCTTCTCTCATTACTGTTTGTATAAACAACCTTTGTGCAAAACTGCAACCCTACTGAACCAACATAGAAAGCTTCAAATAGGATAGACTGATCACATTACTAATGAGACACTTCTGAGGCTAGCGAAGCAAAAGAAATGAGAATAGTCGTACTGTATCCTTGAAAAGTAGTTCTAATACAAATAGAATTAAGGTATAACTGAAGTAGTAAAATATAATATGTGTTTTTAGACCGGGAGCTGTGTATGGAATTAGTGCTGGTTGGCTAGGTGAGTGTGATTGGTCGATAACAAATAGCCTGAAAAAATTCTAAAAAATCCTAGGAAAATTAAGAAAAATGTAAAATTTGAGAAAAATAAAAAAAGAACAGAAAAATTGTACGTACATACTAGGAAAATTTAGGAAGCTTATAGATACTGAGGGTTTAAACTACGAGAGTTTCAGGAACACATTCAATCGTCCAAATTGGAGTATATAACACTAATGATATTCATAGGAGCAATCCAAGTTACACAGATACATGCAGGACCCCATCTACTGTCAATATGAATGACTAGAAGGTTCATATGCATCTTGGTCACAGTCATGCAGACTATCTCGATAATAATTCTGGAAGGACTCCAATGCTCAGAACCCCAAGGCTTGTCTAACCCTTGTGCTTCTGCTCACCTTGCCGCTTGTGCTCCCTCTGTCACCATCTTATGGTTTAGTGGTCTTATCATCATCATCTCCTCGTCCATCTTCCCAATACTTCTCATCTTGTGCAGCTCCTCTAACTTGTGCCTCTTCACTTTGACCTTTGTATTGGATGGGCCTTGACTCTACTACCAACCTCTCATTGAGAAGTGGTGCCTCCACTTCCACCAACAACTCCTCAGCTGGATCTTCTACATTGATTTGAACTCTGTGGATTTAGCTTTCTTCCAAGTCTGAAAAATTTGTTTGATTTCTCGCAAAATCTGGGTAAAGAATTGTGATAGAGGGCTCAAATGCAGCCCTGGGGTTGTATTTCGGGGCTTAATACCCCTTGTTGGCTAAGAAATGCTAAGTTGTTGTTTGTCTAACCAAAAGGAAAGAAGAATCAACCGAACCCAACGACTCTTTGTTGACTCAGCTATGACCGTGGGCTCGCCCGAGTCTGGCCAGGAAGCAGCCGGGTTCTTACAGGGACCCACTCGTTTCTGAACTAGAGGGCTAGTCCCCTAGTTCGGAACCATCTCAACCTAGCAAGCTGCCAAGGTCCTAGCGATTGGGTTGAGTGGGAACCTGAATCTCTTAGTACAATAATGCCCTCTGCCTTAACATGGTCAGGTTTTTAGTCATGTAGTGTCGGGTGGAGCATGGCATTTCTCCACAATTTGGAGGTTGTGATGCAGGGGATACAAGTTCCTAGGAAGATGGTAGGACTGCATCATCATGTAGCTGGATGCCTTATTTGTGTGTCTTGCTTGCCAAAGGGAGGTTTAGTTCTTCTATCAGATAGTCGACCATAATAATCTATAGTGAGGTAACTTATAGAGTGAATCCCCAAAAGTGAGTTGTGTATCAGCTTCAATGGCCGTTTCTCTTTAAATTAATTTGTTTATGATACATTGACCCTACTTGCCTTATTTCTGTTACATACAATGATTTGGGTTCTTTTCACTTCATGATCATTCTAGGGTTTTCAATTGCTTCTAACTGTCTGTAGGTTTATCTTCCTTAGATTGCGGAACTTTTTTTTATTAATTATCATTGTTTGTTGCTTGGTTGCATTTTTACATGCTGATATAAACATGGGTAATCATTTTTTTCCACGTTTTTACAAACCAGAATAGTCTCAGTTATCTTATATCTACAATATTTGTACTTTTATATTTTGAATTTATGATGTTTCTTCTGACAAGGAACATCTTTGTTAAAATTTCATCTGGTGAACCCATCTTTCATTTCTTGTTAATATTTGCAAGTCTGGTTGCTCACTTGATGCAATAATATAATATGGTTGAGTATGCATAGAAAAAAGGGTGCTCAATTGTTTATTTATGGAACTTCTATTGGAATTGTCGTGCTACATGGAGTATTACTTATTGCTCATGGATTCTCATATTTAAGAAACAAAATTAATGCACTGGGTTTGAAAAGTGTTTTTGCAAATTTTTTATTCTTGAATATTAGCATTTGACATTGTGTATTTTCTGCAAATTTTGTTATTCTTGTGATTGAAAAATCTTACTTCATTTTCTTTCTTGTTTTTGCTCTCTATTAAGCATCACTACTATCATTTGTCATATTATGTATTTTCTACTTATCACTGCTGCTAGGGGCAAGGATATATTGTGATGTTTTGATTCATACTCAGTGTTTATTTCGCTTTTCATTTGTTGCCTCTAATTGTTCTTTTCACCACAGATAGATTAGTTGAATGCACAGCTTTAAAGCGAGCTATTGAAATCATCTATGCTGCAACCTTGCCCAAAGCATCAAAACCGTTCATCTATATGTCAATCATATTGCCATCTGAGCACGTGGATGTGAATGTACATCCTACCAAACGGGAGGTATGATGGTTGCCGGCAAAATGGATATAATCTAAGAACATTCAATTCCTTGAGTAGGACTGTAAGGTTAGAAAGCACTATTAGGACGTTCTTTTCCGTTCGTAAATATGAAGTTTTTATTCGTAATCATTTTCTGAGGATCTCTGTAGTTCCCTACCCTAAAGAAAATATCAAGCTTGAACCTCATGAATATTGTGTATGTAGGTGAGCCTTTTGAATCAAGAAAATATCGTTGAAAGCATGCAAGGGGCAATCGAATCAAAGCTGATGAGCTCTAACACAACAAGGATGTTTCAAACACAGGTATGTTTTATAGAAAGTAGAAAGTTGGCTTGATCTATTTGTAGATTAAATATTCTACAACATACATATTTTTAGTTGGTCTTTTCTGTGTTCTGCAAGTCTTGTTGTAGGTCCATGCTCTGTTGTTCTTTTATTTTCATAGATCAAGCAAGCACTTTCTCACCTCTAGTGGTTGAATCTGTTGATCTTCACCATTGTAACTTTTTTTTGCGTTTTTGTCTATAGTTCTTTAGAGGGCTTCTGAATTGTCGTAACAGATGAGGCATCTCTCTGAGCTTTATGAAGTTGTCAATGTCATTGCAATTCTTTGAAACCATTAAACCATTTGTGTTTCTCAGCTCTCCATGTGAATGGAGCCCATTGAGGTGCTTTTCCGGACAACAAATGCCATGATGTCAAAACTTATTCCAGCTAGCATGGACTTCTTTTCCCTTTATGCCTTTCTTGAAAAGCACCATTGTGTATCAAGGAGGCATTTGAATTCTTAAATTTTATTTCATGATGAAAGATAATATAGATTTTAAAGGCATAACCTCATGATGAGGCAAAACCCTCACGGCTCAGAAGGTCATATAGCTATGTCATTTAGACCCATATGCAGCTTCCTAGATACGTAACAGTTCACCTAGTTTACAAATTAAGAAATGCTCTCTATGGACTCAAAAGATGCTCCTGGGGCTGGGCCTGACGGATTTCATGCCACTTCTAAGCAATGTATTGATGACCCATTTGCTCATCATCAGGTTGATCATACATAATTTTGTATTCAACCAACTTTATTATGACTAATGACTTCTTAATCATATCACATATTTCGGATACTTCCCATTGGGAATGGAATTAAGAAAAGCTTAATGGCAAAAAAATGACTTGCAGGAAACAAAATTTTCACCACAATATTTTCTTGGTCCTATGAGTCTGAGCTTAAGGGGCACTGACAAGAAGAAATTTGGGTGCCTGGTGATGTTTGATGAGGCATTTTCTTTGATTTGGCCAGTGTTCAAAATGGAGTTCATTATCTGTCTATTTCCTTTTACTATAAACCCAGAGAGCATGACGTAGCTGAATGACTTCTTTATTTCTATAGTTACTTCTTCTCTTTCTGGCATCTGAAGATGAGTAGGTTGTTTACCATTCTTGTAGGTTGTATACCATTCTAGTATTTGTGTATTGTCGAGTTGCATCCTCAATACTCATATTTGTGAATGGATCTAAATTTGTATAATGGCATCTTAGCTTACGTCCTCTTTTTATTTAATGGAGTAGCTAAGAAACACAGTTTTGTAGGAGGACTGTAAACGGATTATGGGCTGGGCACATGCTACCAGAAAGATTCTTATAGTCATATTTTTGTTGATCTTCCATTCAAGGTCTCATATGGAGATGTTCTATTTAAAAATGGTATCATTGATTAGACGAATGGCGACAATCAACAGATAGGCAAAACTCTCTGGTGATAATCAGTGGTCATTGACGTGGAAACTTCTTAATCATGTCTAGCTTTTCTTTTAGCTACACTGTTTTGTTGGTGCTGTATAAGCACATACATTCTGCAGCACAATTCGTCACTCATTTAATTTAGAGGCAAATTAAATGCTCAGATGATGGTGTAGGTGAAGGGTACTGCTGTCCATTTAATACAAGCTCTCTCTCTCTCTCTGCACAAATTCACACACATATATAGGTATTAACGTATATGCACACATGCTCAAGCACGCACTTTGTAACCAATTATGCTCCCAAGCATAAGGTCATAAAAATAACAAGAATCGGAAAGGAAGATGGCACGACAAGGGTTCACCCCCTCAAACTCGATTTTTTAATGGATTGTGGATCCAAAAAGCAAAAAAAAACTCAAAAGCACCTGAAATTAATCTCCACCACATCAAAATGAATTAGGGCTATCAAAAAGATCCAACTATGATCAATCTACTATCCATTGAAATTGACAATCCATATCAAATTTTGAGTTAACAGTAAAGATGGCACAATTTTTAGGAAATTGATCTTGGAGGCTAAGAGAATGATTTGGAGCTTTTTGGGTCCTAACCCGTTAAATAGCATGGCTATATGAGGTGCATCCTGATGGTTCTGGGTGAGGCCATACCTAACCATTTTCCAGAACATTATTAATAGATTTCGTGAATTAAATTATAGATGAGTGCTCTTTATTCAGTTCTCCCCCATGAGAAACAGTTTATATGCAAGCATTGAGAAGGACATTTCGTATTTTATCATCTGTAGTAGAATGGCCATTAGTCAAATGGATATGTGTTACCAGATGTTGGTACAGAGTTAGAGGGGACTGCAGTGACTTAGTCCTGCAGTTAGGAGGTCTAGAAGCCCCTAAAAGTGACTTAGTCCTTTTCTACTTGGAAGCAATCAAGGCCAAGCCAATCAAAGAAGAGAAGAGGATAAAAAGTAAAAATAAGTTATTAGAGAGTAGTAAGAGAGGGCAAGAGGAGAAAAAAGGAAGAGGAGAGAGGGAGGGAAAGTGGCGTGAGGAAGAGATAGAGAGAGAAGAGAGACAGTGGCATGATGGTCTAGAATGACCATCACACACCTTTTATATTAATAAAGTATACCAAATTACAATATTGCCCATGAAGAATGAAATCAGACATTTAAGTCCTAAACAATAATAAAAAACATTTATGCCCTTATCATCATCATTGCCGTTTCCCAATTAATTGGGGTCGGCTACATGAATTCTAGTATGCCATTCTGCTCTATTTAAGGCCATACCCTCTATGAGGCTATAAGTCCTCATATCTTTTCGGACTACTTCCAACCATGTCCTTTTGGGCCTCCCCTTTGCCCTTTTCAATCATTCCACTTTAACTAACTCGCACCTCGTAACAGGTGTTGTACTGGGTCAACATCAGGCATTTATACCCTCATATATAATTATAATTAATTTTTTCCAACACTCCCCTTCAAATTGGTTCATAGATATGAATCATGCCTAGGTTGCTTGTGATATCTTGTTCTCTATCCTGTCCAACAGCTTTAGGGAAAAAATCTGCAAGTTGATCTTTAGACTTCATATGAGGAGTATGAATGATCTTGTCAACAACTTTCTCTAATGAAGTGACAAGCTACTACAATGTGTTTGGTTTTTTCATAAAATATAGGATTCCCAGAGATATGAATGACAATTTCATTGTCACAGTACAAAGTCATGAGAAGCTTAACTTTAAACCCCCAAATGAGAGAGAACATTTTTAACCCGCATTACTTCACCTAGACGATGAGTCATATGTTCAGATTCAACACTTGATCTTGCCACCACATTTTGTTTCTTGCTTTTCCAAGAGACCAGATTTCCTAAAATAAAGGTACAATAGCTAGTTGGATCGCCTATTAATTGGCATCCAGCCCAATGAGCATCAGTGTAAATAACAACATTACAATGCGCTTGATTGGAGAAAAGTGTCCCCCTCTCCGGAGCAGGCTTGAGTATCTCAGTCGATACATTGTATCAAGATGTGGGTTACGTGGTATATGCATAAATTGGCTGACCACACTGACTGCATAAGAGATGTCTGGTTGTGTGATCGTGACGTATATGAGCTTGCCCACTATTCATTGATACTGGTTGGGATTTTCAAGTAACACTCCGCTTTCTCTATGAAGTTTTAGATTGACTTACGTAGGAGTATCAGCTGGTCTAGCTCCTAACATTGCAGTTTGCTGTAACAAGTCTAGGACATATTTTCTTTGGGAGATGCCTATCCCTTTCTTTGATCTTGCCAAGTCAATGCCTAAAAAATACTTGTGGCCCTAAATCTTTGATAGCGAACACCTTGCTTAGATATGATTTAAGATCCTCAATCTCCTTCACATTGTTCTCTATCACAACAATATTATCGACATACATTATAAGGGTTGTAATCCCAACACTATTCTTCTTTACAAAGAGCTTTTGTTCTGTCTAACTTCTTCTAAATTTCAGCAACACATTACTGAATTTTTCAAACCATGCTCTAAGTGACTGTTTAAATCTACAAGTCTCCTTTAATTTTCACACCTTTTTTGTCTCCCCTTGATCTAAAATAATCAATAAACTTGGAGCTTTGGCCATATAGATTTCTTATTGGATGTCTCCTTGCAAGAAAGCATTCTTTACATCTAGCTGGTGGAGAGGCCAAGATTTATTAGCAAGTAGAGAAAGAGTGATTCTCACAGTGTTCAACTTGGCCATTGGAGCAAACATTTCTTGGTAGTTTATGCCAGGAGTTTGAGTGAAACCCTTTGCAACCAGTCTAGCCTTATACCTTTCAATTGCCATCGGCCTTGTACTTCACAGTGTATATGCACCAACATCCTATGACCTTCTTCCCTTTAGGATGGTTGGTGATGTCATATGCATATTTGCTCAAGCGCTCGCATCTCATCACTCATATCAGCTTTCGATTGAGGTTGTGAAATGGCCTTTGCAACATAGGAAGGTGTTTGAATAGAAGAAGACATGGATTTATAGGATATAAAGTTCCCTATAGGATGTTGAGCACAATAATGCTTACCCTTGCGTACGACAATGGGTTAGTCCACATTAGGACTCTCAGAGAATTCCTGATTCTGGGTTAGCATTCGGGGTATAATCGTGGTGACCTTTGGGTTGTACCATCTTCTTTCTCCTGATATATGTCTTCAACTCCTTCTCATGGTGTACAACATTCTTTTTAGATACACTATTCTCTTCAAATAAAAGTGGTGTGGGAATAGGAAAGGGAACCACATATGTGCTCTCTTCACTAAAATGTATCTTGTTCTTTCCTCTCCCTAAAGAGAGCATTCTGACCAGTAGATGAGAAGTACATAACATATTCAAAGAAAGTAACATTTATGGAGGCATAACTGACCTTGTTAATAACATCATAACACTTGAATCCTTTTTATGATATGGATATCCAAGGAAAACATATTTGACAGCTTTGGCATCAAGGTTGTCCCTCTGTGGACCAAGTATATGGACAAAACATATTCAACCAAGTGGTAAAGTCTTACCACTCAGAGCATTTTGCCTAAGTGATTCATATTCTCCATTAACTCCTCTCGGAAGATAAAAAATATTTCTTTGCTTTTTTGCACAAGATGAGCACTATATAGGCTGATATAGGCTCAGTTTTCCGAAAAAACACGAAGACAAGCATAATAACTTCCACTGACAAGTCCCTTTGTTTGAAACTATTGATTTGTTACTCCAGCTTATATATCTTTGCAAAATTTTTCTTTTGGGAATAAGCCTTAGAAACTACATCAGATATTTCCTTAAAGGCATTGTAAGTCATAAAAGTTCGACTCAAATTAGGTTGTATGGAAGACAATGACCAATTCATAATTACCATATCATCGACTTCCCCGGTCTGCATATTTAGGATCCCTGAGATCTGGTTTTTCTACTTGACCTTCAATCTATCCCAACTTTTTTCTTCTATTAAGAAATAATCTAACTCACCTGGCCCACTCCAAATAATTTGTGCCATCAAATTTAATTTTGGTAATTTGGAATCCAGATTGCTCCATATTTAATGTTTGCTAAGACATCTTCTACTGTGGTTGATATTTGGTTACTTCCTCAGAACTAATCAGTTTTCTATCAAACACATGATCTACATCAAGAAATCACCAAAAGAAATCTCCTTCATCAACCCAATTATAGCTGGAAAAAACTAGGGTTTTGGGACACGATGATTTCATCTAACCATACAAATGCCATCAGCCATAAATCATATCTCCACACACCCTTTGTTTGATGCTTTTGTTTTTTCTTCGATGCTTTGATACCAAGTTAGAAGTAAACAAGGGCAAATCAATCAAAAAAGAGAAGAAGAGAAAAGTAAAATGAAGTTATCAGAGAGTAGTAAGAGAGGGAAAGAGCTGAAAGAAGGAAAAGGAGAGAGAGAGAGAGAGAGAGAGAGAGAGTGTCGTGATGATCTAGAATGAGCATCACGCACCTCCTTTTATATTAATAAAGTATATCGAATTTCAATAATGCCCATGAAGAATGAAATAGGGCATATACATCCTAAACAACAATAAAAGATATTTATACCCTCATATATACCAATAATTATTTATTTCCAACGTTTCATAGTTGATATTAAAGACGGTTCTCAGCCAATGAAATATGACCTCATTTAGAGCGTAAGCTGCTTGATCTATTTCTAATGCCATCGTGTTCTTCCTCTTACACTTTTATGATTTGCATATCCTTCAACATGTGAAATATACTTCATTTGTAGTTTTCATTATGTATATTATCTCAAGAAGTGTAATTTCTTGTTTGGAAGAGAGCTTATTGTGACATTTTGAAGCATGGAGAGGCCAAATTTTTTTTTTTGAATAAATGGAGAGGCAAAATTTTACTAAGGGAATAATATCAGGAAAGCATGCATCTAAGAATGGAAATGTAAGAAAAATGGGAATGACAATTATGTAATGCCTTCAAAGATTTTTTAACTTTGGAAACATGTCTACGGTGAAAATGAACCTTGCAATGACCAGTTGTGTTACCCAAGATTTCTATGGGAGCATTGGACAAATTTACAAGTTTATGCAAGACCTTAGAAAATCCTTTAATGTGATTGCAAACCTAGGTGGAAACTCTCGCTTCAATAGAGATGTAGAAATATATAACGCAAATAGCATTACCTCTTTCCTTTTGGCTGGAAGTAAGTCTGATATTTTATTTATTTCTTATTTTGTGCCAATCAACTTGATATTTGTGGCATGGATACGTTGTTAATTCTTGTTTTGAGATATGTTCCTTGAATTTCCAAGTTCAGCCTCCTTTGGCACCCATGTAGAGGTTGTGGAGAAGGTACCTTGTGGTGTTAAATTGTTTCACATTCTCTTAAGTTTTCCAATGAGGAACATATGCACAATGATAAAATATGCAACGAAAAGAATAAGAAGTCACAAAGAAAGCCCATGATATACTTACAGTTTCTGTTGTGTCCTAAAGGTACAAAAGACGAGAAAGACCTTCTATATGGATTGGCATATTGTTAAGCCTTCTGGTTGATAGATATATTGCCTTTTATAATTAGTCTCATGCCTCCAATCTGATATGTCACATCCCTGTGCATGACAGACTGTATGCCCCAGTGCATCTGGTGCCCTTGTTGCACACAAAGATGCGCAATTGAGTCAATCATCTGGTACAAATTTCTTTACTTAATATTTGTTCTCCACTTTGAAAGATTTTTGAGGTCAGTATATCACTGCCTGGTTCTAATATTATTTCATTGTTTCACTGCTGCAGGGTCAAAAACTCAGAAAGTTCCTGTCCATAAAATGGTGAGGACTGATTCTCTTGATCCAGTTGGAAGACTACATACGTACTTGCAAGTTAAGCCTCTTGGATCGCAAGAAAATAAAACTGACTTGGCCTCTGTAAGGTGGGTTACTGTGGTGCTGGTTGGCTTTTTCCCTGAATGGTAATTTTAGTTTTCTGGGAAATTGCAACGGATATTATTGTGCCCTTTCTCTGTTTGGAAGAACCCCCATTACATTTTACAAGAACCTCTATAATGTTGTCTTTTCTAGCGTGGACCATTTTATAATTGTTATTATTGAGTATATGTTATCATACCATCTCATATACTGCGATATGAAGAATAATTTTTTTCCGCTTTTAATAAGCAAAGAATGGCAGAGCAATTATACTTAATGTGTCACACACATTTGCTTAAGTTATATTTGCTTCGATAGATCACATGCCACTAGCTGAACATTAGTAGTTGTGCATAGTGACTCAAAAATAATTATTTTATGGATATATCTGTATGTTGAACATTGTTTGACCTGTGATTCACATTAATGCTTTTGGAAGTTCTTAAAATATTTATTTTGGGTTTATTATTTCGGTTCATTTTCAGAAAATAGATTCATCAGAATTTTTTCCTTGTAGCTGACATGATCTCGATTTGAACCTTGTGGTATTTGTACTTGTTATTTGAAATATTTTTCCTTGTTATTTGAGCTATGGTGATAAGTTCAGTGACTTCTGGATGGAATTTAGTATTTCTGAGAGAGCATTTGAATTGTATCCTTTGCTATGGTCCTGCTGAGAGAAGGAACTTGAGTGGTTCCACTGGAATAAGGTTTGTAGACCTTTGGTCTTTAGGGGTCTTTAGTACTCTTAGAGATACAAATTGTTTGATGCTTTCTGCATGGCTTTGGCAATTGAGTGACAGTGAAGAAGGTTTATAGATTGGAAAAATGAATGAGCATGTAATCACAAGAGGGTAGTTAGAAATTAGAAGAGAACTGGGAATTGCTGGGAGGCCTCCATGGGTTTTAGGGGATCTAGGAAATGGCAAAAAATGGAGATTCTGGAAAGTTAAATGCTGTGTGATCACATATTGAGCTGCTCTTTATTATTGTTGTTGCTGTTGTTTAAGAGGGACATTCATGCGTGCAAATTCAACAAGTTTAGTAGTTATGGAATATTACTGGGGAATGATATGTCAAAGGGGTGGGTGGGAAAGATAGAATTGTTACAGATTATGAGTTCTCTTGTATGTTTGCAGTCAGATTTACAGCATCTAGTTGTTCTACTTATAACCATAACAAGAAACGTGGCCCTCCCAAGTTGATTGCTTCTCATTGTCATGCTTTTCTAAATAATATTCTAAAAGGTGATCATCTGCAGCATCATGGTTTTCAGATCCCAAACTATTTTGGATGTAGTTGGAAGAGATGATAGATCGTCTTCTTTGATTGTGTAGGAAGTGCTCAAATTTCTTTAGTACCAGCTATGAAAAATTGTGTCCTTTTCTTTATCTTGAGATTAAAATACATGATTTGGGATTCATCCTTTTCGAAGCGACTCCATAATTCCTTCCATTCTTTCAGAGGGTTGCTGACTTGCTTCTCTATCATTCGTGGGAGCATTCCTATGATACAAATCTTTTAAGTATTGTACTTTCAATGTATGTTCGAGGTTACTCGCTTCTGCTCATGTGATGGATATGATTCATTTGAGAACACAAAAGAATGGTGTTTACACTAGCATATTATCTCTCAACTTCACATAGAAATCAGCATATGCTGAGTTCACTCTTTTAAGTAGGTAAACAAGGAGTTGGTTGGCTTATAAATTCTTTAGTTGCTATTTCATCCCTCAATTGTTTTGCATGGTTAGATGCCTTTTCAGGAGCTTTTTACCGAATGCCCCTATCACTGTGCTTTTTAAGTGGCTTTCGAGTAAGACTTTAAAAGCCAAAAAATGTGGGGTTCCATTGTCATGCTTGACAATCCCACACACAATCCCACACCAGGCTTCTCTTATAAGGTTCTCTATACAATACACAGGTGAGCTATCCACCATCCCCTCTCAAGCTGAATGTTGGAGTTGTGAACAGTTGTATGTCATGGTGAACATTTATGTGGTTCCATGGTTCATCCCTGCCTTTGTCTTCAGAAGGAGCAGTGGATGGCCTTCCAACGTATTGTATAGCCTGCATATCATGATCATGATATCGGATATACTTTCCCTGTGTGTTATATCCTCAAATATGAATGGCCAGGTGCATAGAATTAGCCATTAGTGGAAAGTTAGGTATTAAACATCATGTGTTAATATGCTGAGGTCAATGGAACTCCCAATGCTCCAGAAGTCTTTGGTTTCATTCCATTTTCTTACTTTATTTTGCTTATCTCTGTCTTCTAGGTTACTGTCATAAACAAACTAATACCCCTTCTGAAACAGTAGACACAAGACAACCAATCGTCTCGGTTGGTGGGGTGCGTGGATGATGAAACTAGATACCACAAGTGCTCTACTCCTACTGATTTGTGGGATTATGTGATAGATGACAAAAAATTTTAAAGTATTGCGATAACAACTGTAACAAAGTGACAGAAAAAAAAAAAAAGTTTACAAAAGCTGCTCATAGCAACAACTGCTGTAACAATAGTAATGATGACGATGATGACAGTGATGATGATGATGATAACAATAATGATGATGACGATGATGCTGATGATACTAATAATAATAATAATAATAGGTGATTGTGTTCCTCTTCTCATTTCAAGGCTACCTTTAGAATTATGTTACTTAGCCATTCTTGTTTCAATGTTCTATTCAGGCTTACCTAGCTTCTGCTTATTTTAGGTTGGTATGGTTATTGAGAATGCTAATTTACTTTTTACATTTGCTTTCCTCAATTTGTAATCATGGGATATAAAGATTATTTATACTTCTCTGACAAATGTTTACCTGTTAATAACCTTTGGACCTTCATCTGCAGATCTGCTATCCGTCAACGACGTAATCCAAAGGAAAGTTCAGATTTGACAAGTATCCAGGAGCTGCTTGAAGAGATTGATGCTAACACTCATGCAGGTATTTTAGAGGTCCTATTTATGTCATTTTAGTGGTATGGTCATTTTTTGTTAAAGTGTGCAAACTACTTTACAATTTCTTGTTTATCGAGGTGGTCTTTTGTAGGTCTCCTTGAAATTGTAAAACAATGTACATATATTGGAATGGCTGACAATGTCTTGGCTTTGCTTCAACACAATACACGTCTTTACCTTGTGAATGTCGTGAAGCTGAGGTATGATCACTGTTTATATCTATTTGTTACATTTTTTGCATTTGTTACTATAAATTATAATGAACCATTATAGTTGATCATCTTTTGTGTGATTGATTGGTTTGTGCTCTAATGTTTTCTCACAGCGATAAGAGTTATGGATGTGACTAGATGATAATGTGTAGCTTTAGCTTTTACTTTTACAAATTTATGGTACATGCTCCTATAGACCTCTAAGCATATGAATAAGCCAATCTGAACAAAAATTTTGACTACACAAACTGAAGGAAATGCCTGCACAGAAATTCTGGTGGACAAAAATTTTAAGTCGTCCTCAGCTCCTCTCTAATTAAAGCTACTGGCACCTACTCAAGCTAGTTGGTCGGCTCTATCCATAGATCCCCTCCTAAATATGTTCAAAGCAAACTTTGATGGTTTCTGTCTTCTCTCTCTGAAATTTCTTTAAATATTTCATCAAGTCTCTGAGGATAGCTTTCCCCTGCTAAGACCAAGAAATTGTTTGTGCAGAGCCTCATTTTTTCATCCTGCTAAGACTATTTAACAATGCTTTTGCAATTTTTTCAGATGCACCTATGTTACTAATAGGTCCTAAGAAGGAAAGGAGCTCTTCATGACTAGCATTTCTGAATAGACCATATATATACCTGCTGGGCCATTGTTGCCCCTAGACATCCCATTGAACTTGAGTTTATGGTTCCAATGAGGGGTTGGTGCCAACTGTTCAAGTGCTGGTCTCTCTTACTCCAAGCAACAGGTTCCACTGGTGGTATAATTCGGTATTTGGGTGGTTCCAGATCTCTCTTTTTTCTGCAGCCTACAAAGTCGTGAGAACCATAGTTGCTTTTTTCTGCAGCCTACAAAGTCGTGAGAACCATAGTTGCTTTGAGCAGGAGTAGGGGCGGGGCGGGGCGGGGTGGGGTGGGGCGGGGCCGGGCGGGGGAGGGGGAGGGGGAGGGGGAGGGGGAGGGGCCGGGGCCGGGGCCGGGGGCGATTGATTGACAAATGCAAGAAGCTCCCTTGGTCGAGAAAGCATTCCATACAAATTTTTAATTAATAAATTATTTTTTAAAATAGAAATTTTATGAAAAGCTAAAACATTCAATTATCCGACAAATAATAATAAAAATGGGCACAAAAAAGTAAAAAGTAGTTATTTGTTAATTATAATTTTGTAGTTTATGTAAAATACAAAAAAAAAGAAAATTATGATGAGGCATGTAGGGATAACTGACAACAATACAAGGGAGCTATCTTTTTTGTTAATAAAAATCACCTTCATTTATAATTTCACACGTTACAACATCCAAAAGAATAGTAAGCTGCTTTTTTTGCTGTTTTACACTTAACAACATCAAAAAGCTTGAGAAATAGAGAGTATGGTAGCTAGCAATGAAGATCCAAATGAATCATCTTCATGGCCTCTTTTTGCCCTTTGAGTGGCTAGGAGCGATCCCTAGAAGGTGGGATCTCGATACCATGGAGATTGTTATCCAGAAATGTTGGAGCAGGATCGACACCTAAGTTGATAGATCCTAGTAACTATGGTGAGAACTCTTATTTGTTGCCAATGGTCAAATCTTTTAGTGAAAAGCCCTTGAAAGTTTGTGTGTTCTGTCCCAACCATATTGACCACAGAACTTCCAAAATGCATAATCTCCAAATTAGCGTACCAGAATTGGGGATGGCTGATGAAAGTCATTACCAAAATTCGTCGTCTGCTGCTGCTGGTGTGACCAGGAAAACCTGAAGAGGTTGATAAAAGTATCTCAGATCAACCAACTAAACTTACAGTGGAGGAGGAGATAGGAGGTTGCAAAATATGCACATGTTTTGCAATGGAATATCCCTGTTATAAATGTGATTTACAGTGAGCTTTGTCAATTATGGAAAGCCATCCAAGCTTGGTTTTTTGGAATTGGGGGAGTTACCATACTAATCTGGCTTAGCTGTATCAGAATAGTGTGGATTCGGTCAGTGACTGCTTGGTCCTGCAAATTATCTTGTTTGAACGTCTTTGTGGGATGTAGGTCTTTTCTGAGTCTCCTAAGTATTATTAGGTCTTGAATCTTCTCTATGAGGTGCTTCTAAAAGTTGGTTTCCACATTGACCTGCAATAATGGGCCTCATGCCCATTTTAGAAACGGACAATCAAGTAACATTCATGCATTTCTTTCTGTAACAGTCATGCATTTTTTGCTGTAACATTCATATTGGTTCAAGGGAAATTTCTGCTCTCAGGCCATGGGCTGGCGGGGTGAGCACCTCAATTGAGGCGTGAGGCACCCATCTAGGCCCTGGCCACCTTGGGGAGCTCCTCATCCTAGGCAGGGCACCTAAGCCCTTTCCCCCCTTGAGAAAAAGGCTAAATGTTGGTCCTATTGCATTTTCAAAATTTGCTGCCCCTCACATGACAATCTGCATCACTTGAATTCATGTTTATTGCCAAAAAAAAACAAAATCCTAACCATATGCACATGTAACCATGCCCAAAAGCAAAACTAGTTATTTAGCATCATGGTTGTGACTATGTTTTAATATGCTTGTAGCTAACTATTGTCACAAACATATGCTTTAGATATATTGACTGGGTAAAACGGAATCCGATTATGAAATTCACTATTAAAAATTTTAACCTCAAATCGCCACTAGAGGTCCTGAATTGCTGGAGTCCTTTTAACTTTGTTGTTTGAACTTGAAGTTATTACATTTGGATAATACTTAAATGTTCTAAGACAATTTAAGAAATGGGTTTGTTCTCTTCTTATGATATAGGTATGCCCATTATAAACCCCTAATCAAAACGAGGATGAATTTTCTAGCTGTTGAAAAATGAGAGGCTTTAAAGAAAATAATAATGAAATAAAACATTTGGATAACGAAGTTGCTGCACACTTAGGAGAAATGAGCTTTTGGAAGCTACAATTGCTACATTCGTAGATAGACATAGATGTGCAACAATTCTTTGTGAGAGGAGCATTGGTTTGCAACATGAAACTCTATATTAAATCTCCTATTTACAGAACATAACTATAGTGAGACACTAGATCACAAAATACATTATGTGTGTTTGATTCCTCAGCAGGTTTTTCCTTATAGTTAGTACTTCTACCATGGGTAGTTGTTCCAGGCTCCATGTTTTCTTGTGAATTTTTTTTTTCCTTTTTATTTCAGGATTTAATCTGTTGCTTTAGTTGTTTCCATCCATTTCATTAAAATTGAAAGTATTTGTGTTAAAGAGTATTAACAGTTCGTGTTATTAGTTATATGCTCATTTCTTCTTCTGGTTAACTGATCTTGATTTAAGTACTGAACTGTCCTGTTTGTGTGATGCAACAAGCATTGGCGACTTTCTAACATTCTTTAATGCATATTTGCAGCTTTATTACTCTTGTTGTTTCCATTGCTGTGACTAAGCTCATTGGTCCCATGGCCTCAGCTATGTTTTGGGGACCTTGGTCTTGTGCCTTGTATTAATGATCCCCTTACATTTTTCTTAAATTTTTTTTTTATTGCAGCAAAGAACTCATGTATCAGCATGCTCTACGACGGTTTTCTCATTTCAATGCCATACAACTTAGCAATCCTGCCCCTCTATATGAATTACTTATGATGGCACTTGAAGAAGATGAACTGGCATGTGAGGGTGATGGCCCCAAAGAGGAAATTGCACGAGTAAATTTACCTTCAAAAACTGGATTTGTTTCTTAATTTAAAATGTTGCTTTCGTTTCCTTTATTAGTACGTGTTTTTTTGTTCTTAGTTCCTATTTATGGTTGTTATTGTTTTGGCATTAAGTTGAATATGTGTTGAACCTTTTCATTATCCTATGCCAATAGATGCGCACATGTATTGTAGGGTTGGACCTGAATTATTTGCAATTACATCTACTATTTTTTTTGATAAATGCAATTACATCTACTTGTATTGCAAAATGAGTTTCATATGAATTGTTGTCCCCTAGGCTGTTTATTCTCTTCATTTTGTTTTATTCGTAGACAAGCATTATCTTAACTTGGTCATTGTGGGTTCTCCAAAGATTTCTATCGGCCTAGTTAAAAATAAGCTCTGAACAGCCAAATCTTATGGTTTTCCTGTCTTTTTGTTGGAATATGATCCATGTCCAATAGAATGAAGGACAATGTTTTCACAAGATATCCATCTGCCTAGTTAAAAATAAGTTTCTGTTGCACAACTCTTATGGCCTTCTTCTCTTTGTGTTGGAATTGATCCCTTTCCAATAGAATGAATGACTGTTCTTTCCTTTCTATTTCTTTTTCTGTGACATTTTCTTTGTAGACGTGGGGACGACACCATCTTATTCCTAATGGAAACGTGCATGATTTCTTTGGTAAGGTTCTGATGTTATGCTTTGTCCATAACGACTTATTTGGTGGACATCCAAACCGCATACTTTGTCAATCACACCCATTCCTCACATGCTCTATTTGCTCCTAATTGAAGACCAAAGCTCAAAAAAATAAAAAAATAAAAAAGAGAAGAAAATAAATCTTGATCCCACCACTTATTGAAACCAAATCCTTGAAAATTGTTTATTTGCATTAAAAATTTTGTATTTGTGGGGCATGCTTCAAGCTTTTGATGGTCACAAGATGATTTTTTTTTCTTTTTTTTTTCTTTGAAAGCATGATCATATGCTATTCCTTCCTCATCCTCTATTCTTATTTGGTCGTAAGCCTATGTTGTTGGCCGTTAAAATTCTAAAGCAAATGCGATCTTACATGTTAGTTGACAGGGTTTGCACCCCAAACGTAATGGAACTTTCCCTTAAGTGTCATCTCTGTTCCATATTAAGTTCATATTTAATTTGGTTTCCTTCATTGCTAAAGTATTGTACAATAATCATCAAGTTCCGGGTGATTCAAAATTTTAATTTTATTTTTTATTTCATGGATGGTTGTATATATTTTTATTTCATGGATGGTTATATATTTTATTTTTTTTATTTGGGTTAATTTTGGTTAACCTCCAACACTTAGTTTCTATTTTTTATTTTTTATTTTTACTATTCACTAGTTACTATTCATGGGTATTGTTCATGGGTTACTATCCACATAGATATTTATGAAATTTGTTATATTTTTAGGGGTATTTTAGAGTATTAAATTGTTTACTTGGATCTTAAATTAATTTTAGGATTTCATAGGCTTATAAAAGGTGAGACATCACATTATGAGATGCTTATGTTTGGTATGAATTTTTTATTTTATGAAGGAAGAAAATTCTTCTTCTCTTGACTTGATTTACAACCATGCTTTTTCTCCATTATTGCTATTTTTTCTTGTTTGAGGTTTGGAGAAAAGGTGGATTTAATTTCTCACTTTTCCTTCCTTCATCAAGTGTTATCAAAGCTCGGTTCAAAGACAGTTTGCGATGGCTGGTCATGGAGGTCTTAGCCTTAGGGATTCCAATTTGATTCAATTGTGCAAGGAAATCATAAACTTGATGGAGAGGGTTACATAATTGTTTAACAAGAGAGACCGACAACATCATGCCCTGAACAAAGAGGAATCTACAGGGATAGATCCAAATAGTGAGTGTCTTTATGGAGATTGGCGCGAATCAATGTCTAAGTTTGAGTAGGAATGGACTAATGACGTGTCAACTTACATTGATGGGTTTGATGCGCGATGGCATTGACCAGGGCATAATTTTGAAGGAGAACTAAGGTCCAATCTTCAATTGGATTCAATATTCTTTGAATCAGTAGATGATCCAATCTTTGATATTGCTCTTATCTTTGATAGTGATTGAAGGAGAAGAGCAAGGTTCCAATCTTCAATTGGATTTAATATTCTTTGCATCAGTAGATTGTCCTATCTTTGATAGTGCTCCTATCTTGGATAGTGATTCTATTCTTTTAGAAAGAACTAGGTGATCCTATCTTTGATGGTGATCTTATTTTTAATGAACCATTTGATGAAAGTGTAGAACTTAGAGTTCCTATCTATGACGAAGAACAAGTTGTAGACGACGGTGATTGTCGTCACAATGATGGTAACGACAGCAATAGTGGTGGTGGTGAAGAGGTAAAAAAGAGGAGGCAATTGAAGGTAACGACTGTAAAGAGCTCTTTTCTCTCACCAATGGTGGGGCTGACTGTTCTTGTTTCCATTTAAAGGATTCATCCCACAAAGGCAAGCTACTATAGCCAGGTGCACCAAATCCTCAACAACTTGTTTGAGGATATTTTGACCAGGCCTATAACATGTTGGTCCCAGGATCATGCTCCAATATCAATGTGGAATATTCAGATTGAGAGAGACCTTGTGCTTGGAGGAGGATTCACATTAATGCAATTTCAAAACTTGAGGGCTAGTTCTCTCCAACTAGGGGAAAATGATGGAGAACATGAGCTGCGTGTTTATTTTTTTTATTAGGTTTAATTATTTAGGAATTATAGTGTGAGGCCTCCAACACTTCATTTCTATCTTTTTATTTCCTTTTTTTTTTTTACTATTTGCTAGTTACTTTCATGTTTCCTGTTCACATATACTATTCTAGGGTAATGTTCATGGGTTATTGTTCACATGGGTATTTCTGAAGTTTTTTTAATATTGTTAGGCATATTTTAGACGCTTAAATTGTTTACTTGGATCTTAAGTTAATCTTAGGGTTTCATAGGCTTATAAAAGGTTGAACCTCACAGTATGGGATGCTGATGTTATTTTAATGAATTTTATTTTATGAAAGAAGAAAGTTCTTCTCTTAGCTTCTTTTACAATCATGCTTTTTATCCATTATTGTTGATTTTTACTTGTCTGAAGTTCGGGAAAAAATGTGGATTTATTCCCACCTTTCCTCCATGCATCATAGATCAAGCCAAATTGGAGTTGATTTGAGTAATATTTGCCATAAATATTGCTTATTGGCAAGCTAACTTTGGGTTAGGTCCCATCGAGTCGTTGATGAGGAGCCATTGCACAAATGATCACCTAGGTTGAAAACTAGTAAGGAATCTATTTTGCACATCGAAATATATGAATTCAGATTGATGTCTTTTTTCAGTAAAAGGTCAAAAGTATTTGTGTGTTGATAACTGCTGAAGAGAAACTTGTCAGTATACTTATAAAGATCCCTCTAGAAAGTGGAACAACTGCATGACTGACCAGCACTCGATGCTCTAAAGGAGAATTTTAGATTGAGGTGAAGTCCTGGAGATGTATATATAACTGGGGGTGTCTTAGATATACGAGGGAGGAATTGAGGATAATTTTCTTGGGTTCCAATATTTCTTCCCGAAGTACAGAAAGGGAGGGAGGGAGGGAGGGAGATTTTGGAAGGAAGGCAGGAGGGTTTTCCAGGGTGGGAGGTTTTTGGAAGGAGGAACGGAGGTTCTGAAATGATAATTGCCTTAGGTTCCAAACTTTCATTACTAGGTGCAGAAAGGGAGGGACGGAGAGAGGGAGGGAGCGGGTCTCTTAAATGATAATCGTTTAGGTTCCAATCTCTCTTTCCTAAATATAAAAAAGGTACCACCATGAAAATGGGAAAATAATTGTTTTGGGTTGTTGGGGGCCGGGGAAGCCATATTGGATTTCTTATTGCTATTCTATTATCTGCAAGTACTATGTTGATATTTTTTGTGTAACAGAAGTTCATTAGAACCTTTGGATGCATCCATTTGTTTTGAGCTTTTTATTGAAGAGAATTATTGTTGTGTGCTTCAACTTTTAATTCATTGTAAAGGCCAACTTTTAGCGTATTTGTTTCCTCAGTTGTAGCGATCTTGTGATCAGACATATGTAGAATTGCTCAAAGAAAACGCTGAGTTGCTTCAAGATTATTTCTGTATTCAAATTGATCAAGAAGGAAATCTGCAAAAGCTCCCCGTTGTACTTGACCAGCACTCACCTGATATGGATCATCTTCCACAATTTGTGTGCAGCCTGAGTAATGATGTAAGGTTCCTGTTTTTGTAGCCTAGTTAATTTTTTATGGTGAAATTCTATGCATTTGTATTCTCCACTTTCTATTTTTGTGATCTTAGTTTTATTGGTTTTTGTTATAGTGCATTTAATATTTCGCAAGCCAACGCATGTTTTAGATTTGCTTGTGTTTTGCTTGCACTTAATTTAGCCTCAAGCACATATTCTTAGTTTTGCTGCACAAAATAATATTCTGTTGACAGTGTTCTTTATTGTTTACTTTCTATAGCTTGATGATTTTTATGGTACCGTGAGAAAACACATTATATATGTAACATACTGGACTTGAGAAAAATATACAGTAAATTCTAATGACTACGGAGAAAGCATAGTTCTTGAGTCATCATTTCAGCAGATGGTGTTGGCAATAGGATAGACTCATTATCCAGACAGTTCTTACTCCTGGGTCTTGTTATCTCTACATCTCCATCTCCATCGCCATCATCATCATTTGTGCTGATTAGTGCTCAAAAGAATGATTATTGTCTATGATGTGATCTATTCATTGGTAAATAGAAAATAAATATGGAAAGTAATTGGTGATTTGGAGGCCCAACCAAAAATGTTTGGCGCTGTTTCATTTCTCCATATTTTGGGTGGTTGAATACGCAAAAATGTGTGGCGCTGTTTCATTTCTCCATATTTTGGGTGGTTGAATACACAAAAATGTGCAAATCCATCAGATCATGATCCTAAGAAAATAAATATATTTGGAGCCCTAAAGTGCTCGTTCTGGAATGCAATCTCAACATGTGATCTGGACCGTCCATTGCAATGGACCTTGGATCTGTTAGGTTTTCACTATTTAGAAGCTCCTAATCCAAATTTCTAGAATCTTGCGGTGGCTTTCTTGGTGTTTTTATGAGATGGGATACTCATGCTAACTCTACCCAATAAATATAGGTATGGGACTTGTACTAAACTAGATACCTTTTTACAAAGGAAGAAGTTTATATAAGGTGTTAACCTTGTACTGTAGAAGTAAGGTGCACTTAAAAACCCATTGACAAAGGTTGTTTCATCACTTAAAAATTCTCCAATTGATCATCTTGACCTCAATATCTATGGATATGAAAGAAAAAATGAATTTCAAATCCTAAAAATAGTGCATCTTGTAACATATTATCTAGACCATCCATTTTCAAGATTTACGAATGCTCATAGATCTGCTAGATTTGCACCACTTTCAGAGCTTTCAATTTTATTATAAGATGAAAAATAGACTTTTAGGCTATGTGATAGAGTTTTGCCATCGACAATACATCTTTTAATGAGATTTTGAGGTGCACCTTATCATGATTGTTTAAGGGTTTGAGGTTGACACCTTATACAAACCTCACCTTTTTATAAATGGGAATGTATACAATGAGATCATTTACTTTTGATACAAGGAGGTCACAATCATCATTAATCGTTAGATTGAAATCAGGTGGTTGAAGATGTGTCTTTGTTTGGGCACAGTCCAAAATAAAATTTCTTGAATATTGTGAGACTTTCATCTTTTAGATTTCACATCCTATGATTAAAAGTGATTGTGACCTCTTTGTACCAAAAATCAATTATCTTATAATATACAATCCCTTTATAGATATAGGAAAAATTATTAGTTAATTATTTGCATGTCTAAACAAGGCAGCTTACCTGTTAATGGTTCAAAAGCTATTGGTTATCCATCTGTTTCATTAATGTATAAATTTCTTCTGATGATCAATTTGCAATATTTCAATTTATTTTGATGTGATTAGTTTTCATTTTGGATTACAATTAATCAAGGTGAGAACTTAAACCTTGTCTTAAATGCATATGAACTTCTAAACAAATTTTTTGATGATTCTTGATATATATTTGGACGTTATCTTCCCGTGCTGTTCTTGTAAAATATATGTCTAAAACACCAAATTAGCATTGATCTTCTTGGGTTTTGAATGCCTCAGCCATGATGTTATGGCCTTTTTTTGTGTAGTTCAGAAAACTTCTATTCAATCCATAACCCTGGGATTTTGACGCCATCATGTTCTTAGGTTAATTGGGACACCGAAAAGGAATGCTTTCAAACTATTGCTGCTGTTCTTGGGAACTTCTATGCGATGCATTTGCCTCTGTTGCCCAACCCGTCAGGAGATGGCCTCCAATTCTATGAGCAGCAAACTCAGTCCAAGACTATTCGGGGTAAAGGAAGTGAAGTCTTAACTACAGGTTTGGTGGTTCAATTTCCATTGTGGTCTACATGACTTTTGAAATGTCTTTAGTACATTATCTTGATTTCTTTTCGACAAATTTCGAATCATTGAAACAACTTATTCAATTGTTAGAGTGGTGTTTGTTCAGTTGTTTATAATTATGCATGAAGTGTGTTTTTTTATTTTAGTTTGATGTTGTCACCACTATTGGTTTCAATGTATGTTCAAGTACGCAGCTTGGGGAACCGAACGAGGTCCATCCCGGGTCCACATCGGCGGGTCAGCCAAGCTGACTCAGCCAATTTATATTAAACCAGAAAAGGAAAAACAAAAGGAGACAAATAGCCAAACAATATGAAAAATACATAAAATAAAGAATTCAAAATAACTTTACCAGAGGCACAAATCAAAATCGAAATAAAAAAATTGAAAAGAAAATGACAGAAATGCTGAAAATTAACCAATAATTAGTTTCCGAGATTTCTCATTTTGATTAAAAAAAGCAATGTTCAGAAATTTCTAGATCAATGAACACTTTGGACAAATATGAATGAGTTTGGTGAGAAATAGGAGGTTTTTTATTTTGGATTTAAAAATCCCCAAAAATCGGAGCCTCGATTTCTGTTCTTTTGGTTTTCCATCTAACAAATTAATGTGGGATTTCGATACAGGACCTAAACACGATTAATCTAGAACAAGTTTCAAGTTCTTTTGTTAAGAATCGAGAAAAAAACTGGAAGAATGCCGGATTTGAAATTTCGGGGCGAAGAAACACTAGTTTTCTATGATGAATGCTTGTTAAAATCTCAAATGAGCCAGTTTTGGAACAAAAGTAGGGTGTTAAAAAATTTTCTTTGGAGGTTAAATATCATTGGATCGATAATTGATAATTCTTTTAGTTTTTTAGCATATACATATACAGGTTGAAAATTATCCCCATAGCCTATCGGGCCCAAGTCGACTCGGTTGGTTCCGAGTCGACTCAGTAGTGTTCTGAACCTTGGTTTCACGCATTTGTTCTTTTTTTTCCCTGATGAATGATACTAGATCCATTCAAAGGGATTTTGTTGACGGATCTGAAAACTGTTAATAGCTATACAACAAGTCATGATGCTGATTCTTCGTCATCTTTTCTTTTAACAATATAGCAAACCCCCCATGCAGGGAATTGGAAACATTAAAAAAGGATCCTGTGAACTTGATCTGACCTAGGATAATAAGCTCATGGACTTGGTCTTACTTCACCGTCGATAAATAAAATAAGACTTCTATCTCCAAGCTTAGCTCTGACATGACTTGCTCCTTGTTTAGTGTGAAGCAGTGTCAAACCAAAATACCCAACAAGCATCAGCTCTTCCTGAAAGGTTACAATTGCACACAAGTCACTAGTGCTGCCTTTGGCATCCCCCTTCTTGTAGTTAAGGTAATGACTTTGAACATGGCCAGCTCTTATAGTGTGATGGGCCTTGTATCCTGAAGCTAGCCAAAAGACTGAATGGGTTGTGGAGACATCAATTAAGTGGTTTGTTCATTGCGCTGTTCAAATAGGCTTCTTTGCTCCTTTGAGCTTCTTTTCATGAAATTCTATTAATCTGTGTTTTAGATTGAGATTGAAATAGATGTCGCAGGATGAATGCCTCGCTATGCGAGGGCTTACTATACTATTATGGTATAGGTATAGCTTCAGCTTGCTATAGCTGACTTTTGAAGTGGTATAGGCTTTGCTCAAGAGTCAATTTTTCTTTGACCCTATTTCAGCATCCTGTCAGAGGAAGCATCACTTTGAGTTCAATATAATTCAATTGACTGAGTTGAAGCACCACCTTACCAAAAACAGTTGTTTCAAAAGGCACCAGCAGTGTACCTAGTAGTATAGGTAAAGTTCGGAGTTTAAGTTGCCATTTATTCTCCGGATCCTCCTCCAAGAATGAAGTTAATCAAGCATACTCTGTCAGATGCGATATGTCACTTCCCTTGATCTACGAATTCATCCCAAGGAACTGCCGAAGCATGTGACTTTTCATTCATTGCAAAGGGAATAGTTGATCAAATCCACGTTTCTAAATGGATTGGTTTGAGAATCAATGAATTGATCCTCGTAGGATCTTATCCCTGTTAGACCGAACCCTAAAATATGAAAAGTTGAGATAAATTCCTTATGATGAAATAGATCTATGGTGAACCATCACAGTAGATTTTCATTCATTGTCCGCTCTCCGGAATATGAAATCTCACTGCACTAAAGAAAGTGTTGGATGACTGGGACTTGATACATTTGGGTCGGTCACAATGGTTAATTAGGTGTAGATATGGAAAGATAGGCTCGAACTAGAATCGATCATACAACAAATTAGCATGGTGTAAATGGCAAGGAATGGAAGAACTTTACATTCTCTGCCTCTTTCTTCTTAATGAAATGGTGGGCAACAAGTGATTACATAATCACATAACTGTCCATTCACAGCGGCGACTCGAAATATGCTGCATCTGCTCATGGCTGATATGTATGGTTGTAGTAATCTTGAGGTTTTTCCATCATGAACAACTATCATTTTCTTTACAATTTGAATGATTTTGGAGAAACTCCTCTCTCCCTCTCTCTCACTCTCTCTCTCTCTCACACACACACAAAGAAAATAGTGGAATGCAGGGATTTAGAGTGGAATCTATGGGTTGAGACAGCTTATGATGTATTCCTGCATGGATATAATATGATATTGGAAAGAACATTTTCCTTTACCAAGTCCCTGTAACCGATGCCATTGAAAAACACAAGTAGAAGAGAAAATGTCAGAACTGACCCTGCTTTATTTGTAGATGAACCTAATGAGCGGGACTTAATCAGTGAAGCTGAAACTGCATGGGCACAAAGAGAATGGGCCATTCAGCATGTTTTATTCCCATCCATGCGACTGTTTCTGAAGCCTCCAAATCGAATGGCTACTGATGGGACATTTGTACAGGTTTGTTCATTCAATAATTGGTCTTTTTTGGGACGGGGGATGTGTGTGTGTGTGAGAGAGAGAGAGAGAGAGAAACCTTAAGATCTTTCTTTAAGTAATGAGTTGAGGTTACGAGTGTTGACCACCCACTTACAAAATATCGTTGCCTTTTAAGCAGACTTGCTTATTAGTATTGATAATTTTGGCCTGTTGTGTTTATGTTTTGGACTAATGGTGAGATTTTTGTGAACATGCTTAGTTCCTGACCCCACCCACAAACAAAAAAAACCTTTAAATCACTTGTTCATATGCTCAGTACCTTGTTTCAAGTAGCCCACTTGACGGTTCAGGGCATAAGTTATGCTTGTTAGAATTCAAAATGAAAAATCATCAGCGTATTGGGGTTCATTATTATGTGTTTTGTATGTTCTATTTTTGAGTTTGTGGCATTTGTTTCTGTAGGCTTATGCCCGACATTGGCTGTTGCAGGTTGCTTCGCTTGAGAAATTGTATAAGATTTTTGAGAGATGCTGAGGACATTCACTGATCATTCCTCAAATTCAAGTCCAATTTCTTCTTGTCTTACTAAAAGAATTTTGCAGTTGTATATTAGCCTTTCGGATACTTGTAAATTTTCAGGGAAAGGAAAGATTAAAATTGAGTTTTTTGTTCATTGTGTGAAATATAGAAAAGAGAGATCTAGGTAGATTGTTCCATTCCATAATCCCAACTAGCTGAACTTGTCGAATAGAGCTTTTTGGATTCTGTGCGCCGCTCCGCTCCTCCCCTACATCTCTCTCTTTTCAAGAGCTTTTTAGTTGAGAAAACCAGATTCACAGCTTTACTCTCTCTCTCTCTCTCTCTCCTTGCTTTCCCTTTTTTTTGCACTTACTCTCTCTCTCTCTCAGATGCTGATGACTTTCAGATTTTGCTTTGGAATAACTCTCCCCTCTTTTTACTATAAAGTCATCCCTTATGCTTTACTTTTTCTCTGCCCTTCTCTCTTGAGAACTTCATATAAATACTCCAATTGACCATGAACAAAGAAGACCATCCCTTTTTATGCCGTGTAGCCTCCTCTCCCAACCCTACCCATGGCAAAAAATTTTGAGTGAAAGTTGCAAAAATCAGGCTCCAATTCCACCTTAAAAAAAATGAAATGCAGATCTTATTCATATATTTTGGGACACCGTTATTTCTCGGGTCTTCTTTGTTTGGTATTAAAACTCGGGCAAAGGTTTAGTATTTAGGGGCCACTTGCAAAGAAACAACTAGAGTTAAAAGTGCTTGTTAAAACAGACATGGATGGTGAACGTAGAGCTATGGATGAGGGCCAAAGGAAGGTGCCCCACTGACAAATGGAGAGAGAGAGAGAGAGAGAGAGAGAGAGAGAGACAGATCGCCCAATGAAGAGTGAGATTAGATAGGAGTAGGGAGAGGGAAATGGGGTTGGGTTATTGTGGTAAGGGAAGGGGATGCCTTAACATCGAGATATCTTTTAAAGTGCTGGTCCTTTCAGTCAAATCAACTACTTTTATTTCATCTCTTTGATTTGACCGAGGGCCGGTTTTCATCCCCTATCGTATACATACCGTATACAAATCACCAGGTAATCCCCTCAAACCGAAAAAAATATTGAGAGGGAAAAGACTAATGGAATTTATTTGGAATGGGTAAATATGACCTTGACTAAGTAACTTTTGTTATCAAAGTGGTGTGGTGAAAATATTTCACATGTTGAAGAATCAATGGGATAAAACAAAACATGGGCGCAACATAGAGTCTAAAATGCCATTTAAGTGAATATTTTAGTGATGCTTTAAGATGACATTTGTCCTTATTGACTTGATGTAATAAAGGTTAGGGCAGGCAATGGCTAGGTGGCCTGGTCTGGTCCTTTTAGTGTGGTCCTAAAAGATTAGGGTATGGGCTACAAAATGTGGCCAAGGGTCGGACTAGGTTTGGGCCACGACAAGACTAACCTGATTGGACTTTTTTTTTTCTTTCCTTTCAGGGCATTTATTTGGCCCAAGTGGAGGAACATGATTCATGTAATTAGTCCAAATAACTGAGATGAGACTTGGATGATGATAACAACAATGATGATTGTATTTAGGCGGCTTGGCACTTATAAGTTTAGGGCTTTGGGCCAATCCGTGCTCGGTACAGCCCTAACTCTTGCCAACTCTTGTTCATGCGAAATTATCTTTAAGTTTCAATGAAGAACACATACATTATACTGCCGCATGAGCATAGTTTACTTCTACTGCCTCAGTATGACCTATTGTGGAGGGTTTGTAAGCTCTGAAATTTTGGTAACCCCCTTAAAATCACTAGATTATTATTGTCATTTTTTTTTTTTTTAAATTTGAGTTTTCTAACACTTAGATCTCACCTTTAGAAATTAGATTGTTTCTATTCAATCGTGAGACATTATTTTTTTCAAGTGCTTAGAGGGTACAAGTAAGAAATTTTTTTATCAAGTTTAATCTATATATTAAAGAGGGTATATCCACATATTTTGCTGTCCTAAAACTAATCCTAGGTAGGTTTTACCTACCATGGATAGCATACCCTGCCATGGGAGTAGAATATCTTTAGGGTACAATGAAATAGCAGTGCAAAATTGATATGCTCGTGGTTGAAAGGGTGTTTGTTTGTTTAAGGCTGGCCCTAAACAATTAAAGTAAGGTGCACCTTCAAATAGCACCGAATCATGTTATTTCAGTATTATAAATCTTTGTGATAGCCTGAAAAATTACTCTCATCTCTAACTATAAATTTTAAAGATTAAACAATAGTGTAGACCAAACAGATCTATGAATACTTTAAAATCTTGAAAATTGACGGTCTAAATTGTACATTACAATATCCACTATTTTCCAAATTATAAATATACTTTTTCTCATGTCCATACATCTTGAGGTTGAGATATTTTATTGAGAGATTTTTTACACCTCTAGTGAACTTTTGAAGTACGCCTTAATTTGATTATTTAGGGTCTCACCCTAATGTAAACCTCGTTGTAAATACTTACCGAGGGACAAAAAAACAGCCCTGGAGGACCATACGGCGACCCGTGGACCTCCTACTGCTCGTGACTGTACACCACACATTTGTACGTTAGTCACGTGTGCTTTAAAAAATAAAATTTGGTATAGAGGGTTATGTGGTTTGGAGCTTTGGTAGTGGCCTAGGTTTAAAAAAGAAGGCGAACGGTTGACTCGGGTAGCCCATCCGGAAAACCCTTTGGTTGGCCGATTCCAATTTGAATTGCCCTTTT